TCTGTCTGCGTATTAGAACAGTGAATGCAAGTAAGCGATACTTGAACTTTTAAACTGTAGGTTAGGTGTGGAAGGTCAGAACCTAAACCTGAATTTCTGCATGATCCGCTGCTAGAGGGTCAGAATGAGAGCAAGAACTCAAGAACCCCAGTTTCTTTTTGGTTTTTAAACGGACAAGAACAGTGCTAACTGAAGAAGTTGCCAAAGACATTTGGTTTAGTCTTGCTATCAGACTGGCGTGGCCTAAATTAATGTTTAATGTACTGACAAACGGTAGTCTGAAGCGTAAAATCTTGACTCGTGACGCAGGCAATAGCGCAGTCTACAGTCGGTGACCGATCTCATGTAGTGTTATCTGCAATGCTGAAACGTGTTTTCGATTGCGGCGGATTACGCAAGTGAGGTTTTGACGTTGATTATCATGCAATATAATCTCATAATAATTCGGGCACACCAGGATACTAACTTTCGAATGCACATGCAGAAGCCGCATGCAATAAAATGACTGCTTGATGAATATGACTTTTAGTGTGGACTTCCGATATCGTTATAAATTAAAATATATTATGGTAGAGGGGTGCTCATTGATCGTTTCTAGGGAATTCAATCGTTGCGTTGTGCCTTACGGGCGCTCTCTCGAGCCCAACCAGCAGCCACACAGCGGCGCATGATATAGGCAGAATGGTATTACCGACAAAGACAAGGGAGACTGGAATGGCCATTTCTGGCTTATTAGCCGTCGTCAGCCAGCCGTACCCAAGCCCGAAGTGTGGAACGCCTGGGTCTCGATCCCGCGACCTGTTATAGAAAACATGTGCAAAAGCATTCTTTCTTGCATTGATCTGGTAACAACTCATTTCTTCAAATTTTATATTCAGTCGAAGGAGGCTTCTGCGTTTTAAAAGAAATTATAATAATGAGATTTCTAAGATCCGAAGATGTTTAACTAAAGAACTGAAATTTTGCTACTGTGGAACCGTGGAATAACCTACCCGAGACGGTTGTTATGTCTCAATCTGTGGAGACATTTAAATGTCGCCTTGACAGATATATGCTGCAGCAACAAGCGGACTATGTGACTTTATAGCCATGTGACCAGTGACATATGTGAATCAATGTATGCATTCACTTAATGCTGTAATGTCTTCACATTTTGCTTGTTTATCGATTTTTTATGTACAAATAGGGAGTTCAAAGGCGTAAGCCTATTACCCTCAAATACACTGACTGAATGACTGACTGACTGACTAATGCACCTCATGAAATACATAGTATGGTCCACCCGCATCCTTGTGAGCTCTATTTCTTATCTCTTGTGTGATGTCGTGGAATGTATAATTATCCTTACACGAACAGTATGCAGCAAATAGATTCGAAATCCTAAACGCAAATATAACGGCAAATATAAAGCGGGCGGCGTGGGGATGATGAGTGTTAGTGACTTAATAGCCCTTGAGGCATCTATAAACACTGTTGATTTTGTACATTTTCATTCGTTCATGTAATTGTATTGGCCTGAGGAAGAATTACCGAAAACGTGCGTTCGCCAACTTGACTTTTCAAATCCGGATTATTGTGAAATTAAACTGCATTATGATTAATGCAACAACTCCATTTAGGTAGTCCTTCCTTGTCGAAAACGCACCTCAGAATTCCGGCTAATATTACATGAGATCGGTCACTGACTCTATATTACTTGCTGTAGGAAAAAGCGCTCTGCAGTTCACTTCTGCCACGAGGAAATGCGAATGTCCTGTCAAATTTTCCAAATGGGAACCCCTAATATGGTGCGAAATTCTCGGAAGGGGACCTATCGGACAGCTGAGGCATTTTTCTATATTGCTGAGCGTTTGAACGCGCACGAGAGTTCGCCATCAGTAGCAGAGACAGTAAAATACAATCGACAATTAAAAGTGCCATTTGTCAATTAACGATTAATGATGCGGATTTACAGGAGACTGCGCAGTACTGGGTCGATATATCGATTGACTGGATTATTATCCGAGGTCAGGGGTAAATCAATTCTCGCCTAGCCCCGTTTTCGGTGTAAGCGATCATCTTGACAAATGCGAAGTTGAGCTCGTGACCGGTCTGAAAGGCATAGACAGCCACTTATGGTACAGTTCGTCATGCCATCTACTTTTTTCTTACTCGTACATGCACATTAAACTCGCCTAAATGAACCAAAGAATTTAATTGTACTCATTAACACAAGAACGCCATAGTGGGATTTGGGGTATCTATTATAAGGATGTGTTGACACAAGTGAATTTGTTTACGCAGCCCTACAGTCTTTCGCATAAACTCCAGTCTCGTAGGTTGGGCAAATCATAATAATGAGAGAAATTGCACGTTTTACAATGTACACAATCAGGAATATTTCCCAGAGAGGATGCGCAAATGACCGACTAATTGCAGTATTTTGTGGGAAAGTACTCTACGAACAGGTACTTTAAACGTGGAGTGAGTTTCAATCCTTTTTTGAAGTTCACAGACGCCTGTATGTTTTAAAACCCCTAAGCGAAGGAGGCGTATTTACCACTTATTTTTATGTTTTTAACATTCTCTCTGATTTTGAAGGCATACTGCCCACATGAACAACGCCGGGCACGTAAATGTAGTAATAATGGATACTAAAACATTAGGCTGTAAAGTCCTAAAAGGACAAAAATTCTGCTGTTGATGATAACATTTGAATAGCCATTTAATACCTAAAATGTAACCGAAATTAATGCGAACTTAAACCCACTATGCATTAACGGGGTTTACGTAATCGCCCGTGCCCTGAAATCTTACTAGACTACTTACAGCTATACCATCAAGTATGAATTCACTCGGAAAAATCCTCCGATTTTGCTGCCAGTTCGTAATTACTCTGTTTGTTTCATGGCTCTCGGCACACAGTGAATTTATTTTGAGATTGCTTCACACTGCTGATAAAGGTTTATTACCACATCCTTCCTATGTAGGGTGAACAGATACAACTGCAACCAGTCCCGCAGGAAAATACGAGGCAGTATTCCAAACCGCATCGGACTAAATGCTGGCGAACGTTCCCACTCACCCTTCTTGCTCCGCGAAGATACGTTCTTGACACTTGCCAGTAGCTGCATATGGCGTACATATTTTCGTGCGTTAAACGCATCCGCAGCCACAACCACGGTTACACAGGCGCAGCAGGGGAAACACGCAAAGCACAGACACTGTCTTCATTTACATGGAGCCACGTCGTGGCTGGCGTCGGTTCAGATGGCGCATTGTTCTTGCTATGCCCCATCGAAGTGTTCATAGACCTATCGTATCCTGTATGTAGTCTATTGTATGTTTTGGGAAATTTTTAACTAAAAACAAGACATCAGGGTTTCCACAAGGATTAGCCATACTAAGGTGCTAATGGCCACGCTCTCTATCTGTCGAAACGACCACTCATTGAATCGCACGTTCTTGGATTATAAATGAGGTGAATACAGACGTGCCTTGGGACTGTACCCACAAATGATACCAACTGTCCAAAAGATGGTTTACGGACAGGTTCCCTGGGCGTTTGCAGACGTGTTGTCGAGGCGATGTCCGATCTGCCGATTATTATGTTGTGTGTAAGAATAGGTATGCTCTAGAATCTTTGCGATAACAGAAGCAATACTTGACGAATGAGACACGATCTCTAGGACAAGAGCTTTATTCGCCTGGCGTTTTGGATTCCTACTTGAATCCATCATCAGAGACAAAAGCAGATAGGGATGGTTCATGCACAAGGGGCTCCAGTAGTAATATGATGCAGTCGTCATACTACCGCATAGCTATGAAAATTCACGGCACCCCCTTCATTAGGAGTCGCTGCACTTGGTGTAATGATTGTTTGATGGCCGACATTCGCGTCGTTAATTGCTACAATTTCATCATGTGTGTTGGATGTTGGTGTGATGATTGCTCGACCATCTGAATAATTAACTGTGGCGTCGGGAAAAGTGTTCATCTGTGAGCTCCCCGCGTGGCTAATTACTCCGCCTAGGTGAAGTTTCAGCACCGAGTCTGGAAGAGAAAGGTCGTTGCACTTGTCAATAGATTGGGGGTCAGTGAACCATGACTCAAGCAGCTCGCGGCTCACGCGGTTGTCACCTCTATCGAGGCATCCGCCCTCGTCGAATTTGAATGTGTGGCCGGATATCGTCGAATGAGCCGCAATTTGAGAGCTGGCGTTATTTCTCCGCACCGTTGCAGCGTGTTCGACCATTCGCGTTCGGTTTTGTCTTCCAGTTTTTTCGACGTAGTTGTTTTGTCCGCAACTGCACCAGATCCGCCAAACGACTCGAGGCGTTTCTTGCCGTGGCGGCGGGTTTTTCGGCTTCATTACCTGACGCCTGTGTGATTGTGATCAACATTGTTTAGACAGCTTTGGCAGAAGGGATGATTAATGTTGCCATTAAACCGAACCGTAAAACCAGACAACAAAAATGGGGTTTGGATTTGGCCACTGATACCGGAAGGAGCAGCAGTAGTTTGCAGTTTGCCACGATGAATTTCCGAAATGTACTACGTAATCGGGAGGAAGACCTGATCGCGTGATTGAAAGAGCAACAACTGCAATCAGCTGTGACTGGCTACCTAAAACGGAGGAAACAAAATTTCGCTTCCGAAAAGGCGAGGGTGATTAATCAGCATAATTAACCGAGTCTTAATTTGCACCCAGTAACCGGGTGCTGTGCAAAATGCCCGAATATTTCCGAACAACGTCAACAGCACAAGCGGAGAAATTCGTGTGTGACGTCACGTGAACAGCCAACAACGATGATGAAATTGAGGTAATTACTGACTCGGACGCGGACTGACGAGCCATCATCGCCTTAATTACGATCCCCAGCGGTGATCACAGGAGCTGTTAATCATAGTTCGCATGTGGCCCCACGGCAGCTACATACGATAAATACTGCAGTCATTGTGCCTCCACTTACTTTATCCGCAGCGCGTCTGATGATGGGTACGAGTGAGGTGCCGAAACGTCAGACCAATAAAATTCTTGTTCCAGTGGTTGCATCATCATCATCATCATCATCATCCTCATCCTCATCCTCCTCCTCATCATCATCATCATCATCATCATCATCGTCGTCGTCGTCATCACCATCATCATTATCATCATCATCACCACCACCATCATCATCATAATTTTCTTCTTCTTCTTCTTCTTCTAATTTCGTGTGTGTTTAGCAGCTGAAGCTGATGTAATAGCGAAGGAGCTGGTTAAATTTCACGAAACCAGCGTGAAACAGCTACTGATAAGGACGCCCCGAAATTCCAATGTTGACATTCTCGGCCGCAACCGACAGGACGATGAGCCCGTGGTCCAGTGTTTCGGATGATGAACTTCTAACCAACAGGTCACGGGTCCGCTCCTCGGTGGTGGCACACCTCGTGGTTGGGTATGGCTGACTGACGACGGCTGACTAGCCAGAAATGACCACTCCAGTCTCCGTTGTCATTTTTCGCAATCGAATTTAAGCCTTATTCTCGTGTGCACCGTCGGCTGAGCGATTCGCTTGATGTCGAGACGAGGCCCATCGCACACACTCGTTAAGTTGCTACTACGATAGTCGGGGCAATGATCGATTTCACGTGCATCGTCCAGTGGTTACCACGGAAACGTCCGATCCAACCGACAGTGAACAGAATAAGCATATTTCGTACCTGCGGACGGCTTTAATACGAAGCAGGAGACGATGATGAACAAAACTTCCACCGACCGTTAAATTAATTTGCACTTTTCGTTCGTTCAGGATTTCGTTGATTTTCAGGTCGGTCTTGAAGTATCGATGAACACTTCACGATTTTCAGTGTTTTTATCCGATCGCCAGTAAGGACAGATTATTTATTATGTGTCTGTTAAGAAATTTAAAAAAAGGTACTTCTTTGAGGCATTTACCGAGCAGGCGAGCGTTTGGGCTTTCATTTTCATTTAGAACGTCATTTAGGTCACATTTGAAGACTCACGCAAACAGGAACCCTCATCGTCGGACAAAACTGACGCTCACAACGAAAGTCAACAGTGAACATGCCTTACATCAATCAGAAAACTCTCTAATAAATTACCTCTGTAAGGAGTGCTTTGATACTGCATTCCATCGACGGATGTCTGAGTACTTTAATTTTTTACAGAGTGAGGCCAAGAAACAAATTGGCACTTTCCGCTGACTCTTTACCTATGCTAAAAAATACTGAGGTTTTTCGACCTCAAACACAAGAACACGCCTTTGTCTTTGCATTGCGGCCATTTGAATTGTTCTCGCCTAACTTTAGACTCCGTTATACAATTGTGAATGCACGGCAGAGTGGCCATATATAATCTTTATATTTTGTTGAAGACGTTAACGTTTTGTTCGTCCCATTTCTGACTGCACAAAATGTGCTCAAACCTGAAAATGACAGTTCGGTAGTGGTCGTTTCTTTGGCAACACGTAGAATTTTCCTAACGGCAAAACAATTTTACTGAACTTTAGGGCACAAAATCGCCCAGATCTGATTATCGGAATTCTGTAAATCGATAAAACATCCGGTTCTCGAAAAATAACCTTTGTTTTAGGAATTTGATTACCACGATTACCAAAAGACAAAAAATCGATTTCAAGTCCAACAACCTTTGTTTATTAAAACTCTATGGAGTAAATTACTCTCCTTCAAAGGAAAAACCCGCTCGGATGGACAACCGAAGTCCATAACAGGCATTAGCATATGAAAATGCCCGAGTATACTGCGACGTCCATTTTCGATCAAATTTATGAACATTTTGCTTGAAAAAATTACGTGGACACAATTTCTGCACAAGATGAGGACATTTCGTTTAGGTAACTGAGCGTGAAAGCAAAATGCGCAACGGTTAAACCGTCCTAAATTCTCATATCAGATTCTGTCACCAGCTTTCATGAGATAGGTCACGTACTGCATTACTCAGTGGGGTTAAGGGATTACTTACTGCGTAGGCTGAATTTCATGATGCATATCCTAACTTAGGACTGTCTGTCATGTTTAATGATATTCTTCTGCTCCTATGCAGTCTTTGCTCCAACAAAGCACGTTGAGATGTAGCCGTGAAGGAGTCACGTGTTTTTGGTTCTTTTCACTGAATAACTGTCACCTCATGTTTACATTACAAAAACGCATTCATCCGGTCTGGGCAACAGACGCATTTGCATTCCTAACGCTCGGGTTGTTACCCACTTGCATCGTTTGCCCCACGATCGCCCAGACCAATCAATTCATCCGCAGATATCACGCTGTTCAGGCACCAACCGCACAACCTAACCGATACAGGTTTAGGATGCGCGGGAGAGGCGCAGGAAATTGCACTTCCGGCCGGCTGACATCCTTCCGCATTCTGTGCAAGGGAGGATCGACCATGTCAAACTAGCCTTCTGTTTGTGAACGCGACAACTAGCAACACATGGCTTTCGATTAACCCTAAAACCTTCGTCGACAGTACGCGCAGGAGAGGACCCTGGAATTTCTTTCGAGTTACAGCCGTGTCCTGTCGGATCGATGGAATTGACTAGCTTTTGCGCAACGCAGCGTGTTGTTATTTCTGGAGTTTTCGATGCGAAAGTGCATCTTCGTATGCCGAATAAATGCCAAAACGCCGCTCGGGCAAACACGAACGAATGCATTGAATCATGCAGCAATTTTCAGTCTCGTTTTTAAAGTAGAACATTCTAAATTCGACAAGCACCAGCTTGAAATAGCAGTAGATCATAAGGGCATTTGGCTCCAGAAGATATTTTGGGCTCTAACACAGTGGTCACTGCGATCATATAATGACCACCACAGCAACTGCATGTAAATCCGTATCTTTGGTCGGATGCAAAGACGTAAATATCCGGTAGTATGTGACTAATAGAGGTGGTGTAATTTCCAATTGTTCCATGCCATTGAGGCATTCTAGCCGTGTACGTTAATTTAAGATGTGGCATTTCAGAGAATGAGTAGCTGATTCGATAGTAATTTCGAGTTCACACCATATTTCAAGTCTCGGCGAAAACCACTTGAAATGTGAGCATGTGTCTGGATTATCGCAGAGCTTACTTGAGGACCGTCAGTTAAGCCAAGGACTCACATTTTGTCAATCCTAATTAGTCATGGTAGCAGACGCCTTGTCCTGTCAAAGTCCGAGCTCGTACTGTCTCCGAAGAACGACTGCGGAGCAAAGAGAAGGTCTTAAAATCAAATCTGCATATCGAAAGCCATGGTCATGGTTAAGTACTTTTGGAGCGTTCCACCAGAGGATAAACCGTAAGAGACGTATATGTCCAGACGGCAAAGTGTGCACCGAAGCAGGTTGGCTTCAAGGGCTGTTTGTCCGCAGGAGAAAACGCGACTAGGGCGGGAATATCAAGTGCAGACTATGAGTATTTAAGCTAGAAAAACCAGCCCGTCGCCAAATGAAATATGTACTGAAGGATAGCATTTCTACATTACATCACTTCGAACATAGAGGTTAAGTCATCAGGCGGACGTCGGTAGGAGCTGGTGGTAGACTTGAGATGGTTGCCTCATTCATTTTACAAACCTGAATAATCAGATACGGGAACTGGTCGGGCACCTTGTTAATTCGTGCATATGACCTCACGAGAGAGCCGAGCACGTATCTGTTCATGATTCACCCTCAGTAAATTTTGTGACAATTCACTCGCGTGGTCGCCGGTGTGACCGATTATTCACACCTTTCTGTCCGTCATTCTGCTCCCGGTCAATTCGATGTTGGAACTGTCTGAAACTTGGTATTAGCCAAACAACACTGTTCCTTCTGTGATTAACCGCAGGCGAGCACAGTTCAGAAAGCCGATAGAAGTGAATCGGGAAGTCCCAGGAGGCAGTTCAGAGAAAGATGATTCAATCGATAGAACAAGAAGTCTTTTTGTCCGTCGTTTTGGAATTCCTCAATTATCAGCCACAAACGCTATACCGTTAGCTTGAGACTCTTTTAAATGCATAGAAAGACAAGGTTGCTAGACTTAAATGTCTTCGGTAAGTACTTAAAGCGCAACTTCGTCAACCAACGAATGCGCTAACAAAATAAGAAACCCAATCCTACCGGTTCAAGACTTTCGCGAGCTCTCCTGTGCGTTATGTACTCTCGGAAGCCGTCAGCTGCCTTCTCACATAATTTGGATTTGGGGTTGCACACAGACCAAAAGCGACCATCGGACTACACGTCATGAGTCCGAAAGACCCACTGCCACGTCAGCAAACGTCTGAAGCTGTTTTTTCGCATCTGGTTCAGTTGCTGACAAAGTAATTACGTCGGAGAAACTGGAGGATTACTTCGAACACAGATGTGTCTGCAGGCAACAGCGGTGAGGAGAAAGAACGCTGGGTCACGGGTCGGGGCGAATTCGAATGAACTCGGCCACATCTTCATATCTGACGAGGCCGGAATTGTCGCAAAAGGTGATAACCGCATGAGCATCAGTCAGTGTCCTCCGTCCGCAGTCGAGCGACAAGCGCAATGACCTCCGGCACCATATTTTGAGTTGCGGCCTTCACCGGGCGAATCAGGAGCGGGCGCGGGTGGTCATCGTGCCGAAAATCACCAACGGTGATGAAATCGTGGTGATCAACAGCTCGGATGCGGACGAACAAGCCATCATTGCATCAAATACGACCCCAAGCGTTGAACGCAGGCGCTGCAAATGATATGTATGCGGTCGCATGCCAACGATATATTATGGATGTTGTGCCCTGTGTGCTTCTATTACCCGTATCACGACTGTCTCGGATGATGTGGTTGAGTGGGAGACCGAAACGTCCGTACAGTAAACTGAATTGGCTACTGCTCCAAAAACATTCCCAGCAGGTGGAGGTTCACCGCATGGGCCGAACACCTCGCAGTAATGTGATGCAGTTGTAAAAAATTGGCGAAGCACTCGTTTCCGGGCTTTGAGCTTTTACTTTTGTTGTCAGTATTTTGAATCATTAAGTATTTGTAATCCTCACTCTCCCTCCCCACTACCATACACCGGTCGACAACCCGAGCATGTAAAGAAGATTGTGATGGGATTACCAGCAGTGAATGCCCACGTCTAGGATTGCCAAAACAGCCCTCCATGTGCGGCGGTAGTTTTGAGTCCGCTTAGCCCAAACTATGCACATTTTGTGGCTCTATCTACCTCGGCTAGATGAACGTCTCTGTCGGTCTGCTTGTATTTCAGACGTGAGGAATAGCCCTTTTGTTTGTCGGTCCTGAAGTGTGGCCGTCTGGGACGCATCATTGGTTAATCCTTATGCCTAGATTTGTCTATTACCGGGGGAAAACGGAAGAAAAGTGGGACCTGATACCTAAAACAGTGATTTTGTTCGCCTGACATTTTGAATTCGCACCCAAATCCATCCTTAAATACAGCAAAAGATAAGAGTCAGTGATGCACAGGGGACGCAGTACTTATCGAATGCGCTTACTTTGCAAGTACAATCGGCGACTCACGCATACATCGCGGATGGTCTTAGTTGCTGCGATGACTGCCTGATCGTTCGACTCTCGTTCTAACATTTCAAAACCTTTTACTCATCCAATTAAATGTACCCCTCCAGTAAAAACGAGAGGATTCGTTATGTCATTGGATCAAATTTGGAATCTTATTTACTGTAGTTGGCTGGAGTATATCCCGTTATGCGATCGCACCGAGCATTACCGTTATGTATGATGACATAAACTAAACTCCGGCCGATAAATGTGGGCAAGTCAACGTTCGTTCGTCCCCCACGTAAATGCAGCAGAATTTAGTCTTAGTTGCACTCCGATGGGCGTAACTAAACGAGAACCATAGGCTTTGACCAATCCTGTTTCCCAGGCAGATAGAAAAGGCACGGAAATTAAAATGCGGTGGGGAAACCGCGATGGCATGCTAAGCAGGCGGACAATATAATGTTCGAGAAGCAGAAATACAAACCGTTTGACGAGCACAGAACACAATCATGGGCGTAACAACATGCGGTCTAGTACAGAGCAGTAACGGGAGAGGTAATGCGTCATCTAGAACGCTGGCTACGACGGCTAGAACTTGGAGCCGAACCAATTGAGGACTGTGTACGGCAGACGCACAAATTCGGGCACATAACGGGAGAGGCCAGTCCGGCCGGCAACCTCCAGGTGAAAAGGCAAAGAGCGCAGGCTAACGGGCCATTTGCCATTAATGTCACGGATGCCCATCTCCAGTGCAGTGTCCGCCACGAGGACAACGCGACCGGATCGTGCGAGCAACTTCTCCTTTGGCTCGGCCAGCAGGTGCGCGATAACAAGACCCGTCAGCTCGGGTGATTCGCCTAAGAATAGGAAGTGGCAATAAAGGTAGAGGATCAGAACAAGCGTTACTACCACACCATCAGTAGTCTCGATATGTACCGGTGCATCATTTCCCGATCCACTTCAGAAATTTGTCAAATGAATGAGAATAGGGGAAGGGTAGTTGGGGAGACAGCGTTGCATCGCGTGCAGCACTGCATTCAGATCCACTCTGACCCTGCTAAGGAGCCAACTCGAGTTTCGGCCCCGCATCAGGAGCAGCTTGGGCAATGGGGTTACCCTGATCACCATAACCATGAGGAAAGCTCACGATTAGCAGAATAAGAGAGACATAATAATGAAAGGCATAATTTTCACAGGATTTCGAGTTGCTTTCGGAGACAGCCTAGACCACCATCCAGGTCATACCAAGGGTGTTGACTTCTCCCTTTCATTCAGGACAGATGCAACAGAATTGACACACAACTTATCGATACTGGACTCACCTCCAGTCGACCTATTGGGTATAAGTGAGGGGTAACAATCGGGAGAGGGCACCCAAATATCCGTTGCCTATAAATAATACTTGTTGTACTTATTTGAGTGGGTTATGGTCCTGCATATTTGTTGTTTCATCCGACCTCTATTTTATCTGACCTGCAGTGCACATGTTGCCTCACTTTGATTTTCATAGTCTCCAACAGTTTAGATGCGACCGCTGCAGACCGAGCCATGGTTAATCAACCTTGATCTGGTCTTACAAGACTGAAGTGTGACAGCAGTAGTGGGGTTGTGGCTAAATCTACCCTTGCATACCTTAGGAGAGTTGAGACACGATCGCTGTATACCGACCATTGGTTTGCCATCCTTCACATATGCATGCATAGGTCACGAGCGACGACAATAGTCCGTTTGCGGCTTACTTTAGACCAGCATAGCTTAGGAAAGATGGAGAATGATCGCCTTAGACCTATCCTATGTTTATCCACCTTGAGATTAGCTTCCACAGCTGAAGAGCGAGCGCAGAAGCCGATATGCGGCTTACTCTATGGTAGCATACGTTCTAACACTTACGATACGATCGCTGTGGACCGGCCCTTTGGCTTATCCATTATGACCATTTCTTCCTTAGGTGAGGCATGATTGCAGTTGTATGTATGCGGCTCAATCTATGGCACGATACCCTTTAGACAGTTGCAAAACGATCGCCGTAGACCCACTCTACGTTAAACAACCTGAATATAAGCTTCCGCTGCTGACAAGCGGCCGCAGTAGTCCCTATGAGGAGTATTCTATAGTAGCTTACCTACGTACAATTGCAATACGATCGCCGTTGACCGAACACTTGGATTATCAATTTTTACCCTTACTTCCAGAGACCAAGGGCCTACCACAGTCGCCAGTGTGTAGCTCAGTCAATAGCTGCATAGCTTCGGACAGTTGCGACAGGATCGCTGCTTTGGCCGGCAGTATTTGCTGGGTGCCCTCTCCCGATTGTTACCAAGTGAGGTGTAAAGATTTTGAAAAGGAGCACGCCTGTCATAGCCGTACAATTATTCTTGAGTCGTAAATGCAGTTGGATTTTTTAACCTGCCAATCGGAGACAAACTAAAACAGAGACTGTCATAGAGATAATATAGGTGACTACATCTTGGCCAGTTATAGCAGTCACGACCACAGTCGTAGTAAATACTCGCAAACAATTCACTGTATATGTCTGTCAAAGGCGCCAATGAACATGACGAATACTGCTACTTGAACACAGCTCCCGCCTGTGGTCCTGCGAAGTCGATCAGTAGGCTGAACCAGACAAGGATGTACAAGTCTCCACACCAGGTGGTCCCTACACCTCCTTCCGCCTCCTTCCCCACCCCAAGCAAAAAATCCCACGGGGAGGATGACATGTAGTCCTGAAGGGGACCCGTTCGTTTCAGGTCGTCTTCTTATCACTGCAACAAGGTCGTGGCAGTCAAAGCGGCCTATTTTGGGATCCACAGCTTATATATCCGCTGAAGGAGAAGACTAACGTGCACATACAATGTTGGTAAATCCCCTGCCAACAAACCTACTGCGGCCGATGGACGCAAATGATGCACTCGAAATACAACATAAAACACAATCAGCCGTCCAAATCTCCCCTACTCTGCACAGCCTGCCAGGGTAAACAGGGTCACTCTTACAGTCACGAAAATAGGAAGGAAAACTCTCCGATCACTCGATAACAGGCGAGCTACAAGGTGGACATCGCACCTCTCAGCCAGACGCCTGCTCCGAGGTAGATTCACATTTTCTGAAAGACAGATATCCAAGAGCAGAGCTCCGGGACGCCGGAGTCACATGCGTCATCAAGACCGATGCCGTGAAATGAAGTTCTGGCATGCCGCAGGGAATCAGATGTCATCTCTTGACCACGAGGCTGCCACTTCGCGGGGACAAATTCTCTACGTTCGTCAGCGGCTACACCTATCTCCCTCCGCCACCTTCCCCCAACGACCTGCTCAGACGAAGTGAAGGACAAGTTCTACGAAGACGTGGGCGCCATTCTTGTGACAAGACCAGATTGATTGTCTCATTCTAAGCTCTTTCGTTGCCTTGCCCATCACTGGAGTCCGTTTCGAGATGTGAGCGAATCTGTCAAACAATTCTTGCCAGATGTTCCATCAAAAAACCCTGCACTGGTTCGTCTTTGCACCATTGCAGTAATGCGACTGCGTAAACACAATCGCGTTTCGTGCAGATACACGCACAGAACCGACCTATGCTGAGATCGGCGTGCAAACATTTCGTTGCCGCGTCACGCTAATACCGACAGAAGCCTTGACAGGCCAACAACAATGTGAGCTCTATGTCTGTTGGGGTCCCGTTTCAAAGGTAGTGGCTTTGCAAGATAAACGTGACAAAGGGCCGCAGGACGCTGGATGGATAATTTGTGCGGGTGCCTCATTTATCAGACGTAGTCGGTCCCGCCCCGTCCTGCCGCAAGCACGCACTACCCGGGAGAACGTTAACAGGGCGGTAGCTGGCAAGTACTCGTAACGTCAAAGCACTAAAATACCAATGAGACCGCATTATGTCACCAGCCATCGCTGTACACCGATCTATGCTGGCCCCAGGACCGAGCATGAACGGTCCGTTTTGTCGTTTCGGAGTGACCGTTGACGCTGTCGATCGCAGTGAGCAAATGACTCACTGGCAGAGGGGAGTGCGTTGCTGTACATATAGACGGTGTTCGGCGTGTGCTCCCCATGGCCTCGGGTTGTGTTAGGACTGACTGACAATGGACAATTACTGCGAACCTACGGTGTCACTTTTTGGTGTTTCTATTTGCAAACATACTAGATTAATTGTAGCGTCAAGTAGAACCCGCGAGACTGCAATGAGGGTCCCCTAAAATTGTACAAAATTTGATCAAACAGGCGGAGTAGCCTATTCAATGGTAGGGATTATGAAAATCGCCGAAGGTAATGTAGGTCTTTAAAAACTGCAGTACGGATGGTTATGAGGATGGCAATAAGCACGAATGCACTACCTTAGACTTCGGGAACAAACTGTGCAAAAAACAGAAGGACGGAGTGTTTGAAGCACCAAACGGGAATATTTACCCCATTTTTCTAAATCCACAGATTTAAAGTCGCCTTTTTCCACAGCCTGCAAAACTTTTTCGGTTTTGACGAATCCAGGCCAGAGGGCAAGTACCGCAATGTTCTTCTTCTTTGTACGAAGTTCGTGAGCCATATCGGCAGCCATACGATCCACAGCCGCCTTCCCTGAAGAAACAAAAAAATGACCATCAACACAGAACTGGTAGTTGGCAGTCATAATTGTGTTCAAAGTAGTGGGCGGGTAAGACGAAGGAGGGGCTGAAGCGGCCGTTTCGTGCTTAGTTGTGCCTCTTGTTAATTTGCCAGACACATGAGAAAGACCAGGAACGCGACATAGCAAAAATGGTTTGACACAGACAGTCCAGGCAATTGGTCATCAATATCATCGAATCAGATTTCATCAAACAGTCCCTCAAGGCTGCTCGAGTATGAGCAGAGGTCGCTGTGCGTTGTAGTTAACAGCTGATAACTGCCATTTGTCGGAATCCAGAGTCGCCTGTTCGTCGTTTCATTATGTGCTACCGATGAACAAGCGAACAACGACAGTTTCAGCGTCGTCATCGACGATATCCATCGTCTTGAAAAAGGAAACACAATCGCTGGGACAAGAGCTTTATAGCCTGACGTTTCGGATTCCTGCTCGAACCCATCGTCAGAGACAACATCAGATACGGGTGATTCACAGAACGGAGGCAAACATCATGCGTCTGGTAATGAAACCGAGGGACCCGCTGCACGGCTAGAAACGTCGGGAGTCGTTTATCGGATCTCGTGCAGTTGCGGACTAAGCAACTACGTCGGAGAAACCGAAAGACGGATCCGAACGAGAATGACCGAATACGCTGCAGCGGTGCGGAGAAATGACGCCAGTTCTCAAGTTGCGGCTCATTCGACGAGATCCGGACACACATTCAAATTCGACAGGGCTGAAATTCTCGCAAGAGGTGACAACCGCGTGAGCGGGCAGCTATTTGAATCATGGTTTACTGAACTCCAGTCCATTAACAAGTGCAATAAACTTTCCCTTTCATACTCCGTGCTGGGACTTCGCCTAGGCGGAGTAATTAGCCACGCGGGGAGCGCACAGGTGAACACTCTTCCCAACACCAGGGTCGGTGCACCAGATGGTCGAGCAGTCATCACACAAACATCCAACGCACGTGATGAAATTGCAGCAATTAACGACACGAATGTCGGCCATCAAACAATTAACACACCAATTGCGACGATCCCGTACAGGGGGAGCCGTGAATGTTCATAGGTATGCGGTAGCATGGCAACGGCATCCTATAAATACTGCAGCCCCTTTTGCGTGAATCACCCGTATCTGCTGTGGTCTCTGATGAGGTATTTGAGCAGGAATCCGTAGAGTCAGGCTAAAAAAGCTCTTGTCCCAGCGACCGTGTCTCCTTCTTCAAGACTTCTGCCTGGAACTCGTCTCTTCTCTTCTATTGGCTATGTTCACCGTGTTACTCCCAGGATGGCAGGCACGTGAATTAGCTTATAATGATATTAAATTTGTGCTGCATCTATTCCACTCTGTCCGCCTCTTTCCACCCTGAGTCCGGTGCCAAAGCAGAGTCAATAAAACCGGAGGCGGGGTCTGACGTAGGTGGTCGGCGCGGTGTGGACCTGCATCTAGGCGTGCCACTACGCCCCACGTATAGTATTTGTTGTGGGTGCGCATCCCAGTAAGGTGTGCCGTACCCTTATCTGGCACCTGTTTGGGGAGTAGCAAACAGCATGCCTCCACACGAATAAACATACGGCATCTTCCCTGAGTTGGCAGACCAGAAGAGGAGGACAGCAATCTCAGTAAGACGATGAACAAGTGATCAACGACAGTTCCAGCGTCGTCATCGACGATGTCCACCGTGTTTCCCCCAGGATGGCGAGCGCAGGGACGGTGACGTGCACATGAATTAGCTTATAATGATACTAGACCTGCGCTGCATCCACTGCACTCTCTCCTCCGCCACCTCTCTGAGCCCGGTGTCAAGACGGGGTCAGTAAGACCGGAGGTGGAATCGGGCGTAGGTGGTTGATGCGGGGAGAGCCTGCATCCGGTCATGACACCTCACCCCCATGTAGGGAATTTGTTGGGGGTGCGCATCCTCAGTAACTCATGCTGTACCCATATCTGACATCCATGTTGACCCAGCGCAACTCCCGTGTGGCCGGTTGTAATGGGTAAGCGAACAGCATGCGCTCACACCCATCCTATCCCCAAGTTGGGAAGCCCGAAACGGACGACAGTAATCTCAATAAGACGGGGCCTTTATGTTAGCCTAGCTGCGAGTTACCCGATATATTCACTAGTGGCAGTCAGTGGAACGACTGTCGGCAGCGACCAGACGGCAAACTATGCGACCCATAAAAATGCCGCCTTACACATCGCTGGACATAGTCCTGTGCTCTTTAATGACCAATATTGTGCCCCGAAGGGGAGCGCCCCGTGTTTCAGTGAAGTTTGAAATTTGATAGGGCCACCTCCGGTTTTACGGACTTCGCGATGACACCGGACTGGGAGAGATGAGGGAGGAGACGGTGCTGTTGACGTTGACGCTCCTGCGCCCACACACGGTGTACATCGTCGGTATCGACGGTCCAACTATTCGGCGTCACGCGGAGATTGAAAATTAAAAGACGTCTAAGAGGCCAGGATGAGATAGGTGAAACTAGTCACTGTTAACTGTAAGATTGAAAAATTCGTTAGGTGATAAGAGAGTGCATACGTACCAACACCGTAGGTGACACTGAAAAAATATTTTAGACCACCGAAGGAGGAAATGTTGATGATGAGGCCCGGACGTCTGTTGTCGCCGCTCGGCTGAGAATCCTTCCCACTACTGTTCGGTTCTTTCTCAGAGGCGTCATCCTTGGTGGTCAGCTCACCGCGATACTCCAACATCATACGCGTGGCCAGGGCGGCGCAGATGTAGTGGTTTCGTAGTCCCACTCCGTTCACGATGTCCCAGGCTTCCGCGGCCGAGTCATCTGACTCCAGGTCCCAGTACTTCGCACCGACGTGCGAAGTAAGGTACCCGACTGCTGCATAGGCGTTGTTCACGAGGAGATCCAAACGACCTTTCTGTTCGCGACGAATGCGTGAAAAGAGGTCTGTCACCTGGCTGTCATCGGAGTGATCAACGACCACGGGAATAGCCACCTGAGAGGAGAGTACGGAATTACATGCAAGATGACATGAGTAAATTGCAAAGTAACGCCTTAGTACTCCGATTCCCTTCGTTGCCACAATTTAAGATGAAGACGACAATTCCACACTTGGCGGAAAGTATCGAAAGACGTGGAATAATTAGGTCTGTAGGAAGCGTACAGTTTGGACACTGAGACATGTGTGGTTGACTTTTGGTCTGAGCAGTTTTTGTATATTTGTTTGGAACACTGAGCGGTTGCGTGGGATATAGTACGCATGCTGTACGCGCTTCAGACCGCATTTTCACGGTCACATAAAAAGACCCTGATACGAATTCGGTTTTTGGGAAACATAAGTCGATGTGTCAGCATAATTCTAGCACACGGATTATACCAGTAAGAATTCATTATTTTCAAAATTCATTAGTTATCATAACTGTTCTTGACAAACCGTATAATGCAACTGAGTACTACGTCGACCGGGTAACGTGAATCAAATGTGATTTGACGCAAGAATTACGGTCAAGACCTCAAAGCTCGGGTGGCCAGACCGTTGACTGTACGCAAACCCTGCCATTGTCCACATGGTTTTGAATCTCACGGTGCAAATCGGTCTAATGGAGTAAGCACTTAATCACAATATCAAGAAGTCTAATGGAGTCTAATTCGGTCTAATGGAGTAAGCACTAAATCACAATATTAAAAATTAACCTCCAGGCAGATTGCAAGAAAACGGCTTATTTCCTAAAACCTTCTAGGAAACAATAGGATTTAAGTAACATTCCATGCAGTTAACTGAGGTCTGACAAGCCCAAAAACTAAGAACCGCTTCTCTCTGGCCTGAAACTTTGTTCGAAAATATTTTGACATTTGCAGCTTCGACAGATAAACCAACTGACTTGAGACATAGCACTCTTCGTAGGCTGGCGCTAACATAATGACATCGTTAGTATAGCGGAGATCGGTCACCCGGCGTGTGCGTGTCTGACCGTGTTAGCCACCTGCGCCCTATCCCGCCTTCGGTCTTCTTGACTACATCATAATATCGGGTCAGGTGAGGGAGGAAGGAGAGAGTGCGGTAGATGCTGTACAAGTTGGCCACCACTATAATCTAGGTCACGCAGAAGTCACCATATCCACTGTGAGCATACGGTGGGCACCGTCGAAACCGACGGTCGAACCGTCGGACATGCAAATGTTTTGTGTTTCTGCTCGTAAAAGTAGCCATTTATGTGGCATATAATAGAGAGATTAATATTCCTCAAGCCACCAATAGAATGCGACTTGCTTGCACACATTTTATGCGACAGATTAACTTGAGGAAAAGTCTAGAAAATTCAATACTTAGTTCTCAGTAAAAGGAATGCTATAGGTCACTGAAAAGATCCTAAGTCATATGTTATTACCGACCAAGAAATGGGAGACTAGAATGGCCAGTTCTGGCATATTAGCCGTCGACAGCCAGTCCTACCCAGCCCCAAAGTGTGGTACAGCTGGGACTCGATCTGGTGACCTGTTAGTTAGAAGTCCAACGCCACTAACCACTGAGTCACGGGCCCGTTGTCCTGTCGGTTTCGATCGGCAATAAGTAAAAATCGGCACGTAAGGTTGCAGCAGTAATCGCAGTCACGCAGTTATACGGTGCAAACAGGGTATTTAAAGCCTTAGGCCTATTTCCCTTAATAAAATGAACTGAACTGAATCTCAGGCCATTCCGGAAATACGACCGAACAATTAGGAATGAGGTACCAGTCACAAACGGTTAGCAACTGTGTCCTCATTAGATATCGCGCCTTATCAGAAAGAATTCACAGACGGCCTCCTCGAAAGTTGGCCCAACACGGCCAATCGCAACGCTCATGTGATTCCCGAACAAACTAAATGATGGCTTCTACGTCCAAAGAGGAGCAGATAAAGTTCAGTAGATCAAGTCCAAAGAGAATGAAGGAATTGGCTCCACAAACACAAGACGACATTTAAAGATTAAGAGACGCTTCAGCGAGTAAAATAATGCACATTTATAACCTGACTGTCCTCTCCGTGTGAGTACTTCTTTCCGGAGCACAAAGAAAATATCATGATCAACGATCAAGGAGTTTCCGGGCATCGTGTGTAGGTTAATACCATTACCACAAAATTCTCGGAAAAGCACAGACTATAAATCCTCGAGGTCATAGGTGTAGACTGAAGTCAAACCATGCTAAACCTGACCGTGTCTTTTACGGATTAGTCTACGTTGGCTAAGTAACACAAAAGGTCAGATCTGCAGGTACTTAAAGAGCTATAATAAATGTCGAGGTGATCCTTCAGAAAACGACGAAGAGAAGGACTACTTATATTTGGATCGTGCAGGTTACCGGAAGTATGTAGAACATGCATCCACAAAATTGGCCAGAAACCAAGTTGGAAGTATGGTATACGCATTCTAGTCAACGTTTTACACGCTTCAGCCGACCGCAAATACTGCAGAGGAATCGATGAATGCTGCGCAAAAGTGAAGTTGAAAAAAACCAAGGGGTAAGGATAGAGAGGAAAGCATGTGAGGTAGGCGAGGGAATAAACGTACTCCGCCACGCGATGTAACCTCCGCGGCCGTCTCCTCCAGACTTCCGCCTACATCGCCCTCCTTGACATCACCCTTGGGCTTGAGAGTACGGCCAGTGATGTATACTGTGGCGCCGCACTCACCCAGAGCAAGTGCGATGCCGCGGCCAATCCCGCGACTGGCACCTGTCACCAGACAGACGTATCCTTTGAGATCGGGTAATTTGTTGCCGCCCATGAAGATTTCCAGGAAGGGCAAAAAACCTAGATGGAAAATAATTAAACTATTAACGCAATACTCTAGTAGACATTGAACTCCAATAAAGGTGAGAGGAGCATTTAGGCGCCAAGGTTCGTAAAGTTTAATCGAACCTCTATTTCTTGCTTATTAGGGAAATGCAGTAATTAGATAATCAGACGTATCCCTTGAGGTCGGGTAATTTGTTGCCACCTATGGGGAATATTGGTACAGGCGAAAACCTACGATAAAAAAATCAAGCTATTGACGCGATTGTTCTGGCAGTCATTAAACTAAAAAATTATCTGGAAGGCACCTAGATGTGTCCAGTCATAGGTGACCAGAGAGGGCTGACCGGATACAATCGCTACTGGGTCATTTCGTAACCATCTTGATTATTATACATGCTTCAAACGCCTGGACTTGTTACGTTTATTGGAACCTCTCTTCTTGAAAGACTTAAAAAGCAGTGACCATGTACTCGATGGGCTAAGTACTACGGCATGCCTCATATGGTTGGACACGGAAGGGAGAAAGTGGACTCCCATTCATTGTTAAATTGAATTTTTTAAGTGGAAAATCGCTTTGGGTTAATAAATCGGTTTAGTTGAAAAAGGTTCTACAATGAATGGCAGGTTAGACTGCGTCCTGCCGATCACACGTTCACTTTAGACACAGATGGTTACATGCGTATGCATCTGTGAAGGGGATTTATCAAATTCCCATCCTAAATTACAATTATGACAAGCGAATTATCTAATAATTTGAAACCACGTCTCGCGGGATGAATTAAAGAGAGATAACCTATCGGAAAGATGAAGATATAACGCAGTGCATGCCAAGAGTAGAAAAACTAGGAATTAGCGAAACCAAATCGCAAAGTCCGGATTGAGGTGTATTACTCCACGTTATAAACGTCAGTATTTAGTCCGTATTTTAATTAAATATTAATCTTTTCCAATGTCATGCGCAGACCGCACCTATACAGAGAGTGTTTGAACAATGAAAACAGTTCTGTACGCATCACTAGGCTGCAGTAGGCTTTAGCGACAATTTCTAAACACGTGTAGAGGTAGAAAACCTCAACATATCATTTACGCTGGAGGTCAACAGGTTAGGCTTTATTGGTGTCCTTCTCCATCAAGCTATTAAAGTGTTCAGGAAACCAATAAATACGATGAAAGCAACGACTGTTAACAAAAATGTCCCAATCTACCATATGCATATGCAGTCCAGATGCATTGAAGAAAACAGTTGAGGGGTAGATTTGACTGTAGATTGCTCAGTGGAAATGGTCAATTGACATTCACATATGTGTTCCAACACATACGTGAGTGTAGTAAAAAGAATACTGATGGGACAAATGGATACCATCACAAATTCCTCCGCAATTTTTGAGGACAAATTACGTGTTAACCAGACCCTAATGCATTTGGCACAGACTGCGAACAGTGCATGTCCCACTAAAGACATTTTTGTTAACGAAATTTGCAAACGCAGATTTGAAATGTGTGCCCAGACTCCAAACAACCCACCAGTTGGATTCGTTCTAAAAATGCAATCGTGATTAACAGTTGTCTTTAAATTAATATTACTATTCACCGTGATATATGTTTTAAGAAAAAGGAATGCTTAAATTCCACAGCACGTCGTCCCATTATGGGCAAACAATAAAAATGCAGGCTAATCGATTCTTTAACCAGGAATGGGCGCGTACTCAGGTTTCCCGTAGCAAACACGCTCCGCATATGTGAAAACGGTTACGAACAGAAAACCACCTACCAGGGCGAAGTCAGCCAAGTTATAAAGCAGAGAAGAGAGACGACGGCGAATGCGGCAAATTCATACAGTACTGTTTTCAGCTTATTGTGCCCTCATGTAGCCGATAGCAGTCTTAGATCCACCCGTTTGGACCAGAAACACAAGTATGCGCTCGTACACGGCGCAAATGGTCCACAGACAAGGCCTAGCAGACGCAATGCTGGACTTTCTTGTAACGAGGCGCTTATGATCTATCTGATAGACCTCGTCTGCGCCGTGTACGAGCGCATGTCTGTGTTTCTGAGTGAAGGCAAAAGAAGCATTTGCAATTCCATAATATTTAAACTGTCTTGCTCGGAGAGACAAAACATATATAAAACTTATAATTACCGTTGGCGAATGCGACCAGAAGACGACATATCCAACTTTCGTTTTGTTTGTATACAGCTTAATTTTTGTGTGTGAACTGGCTAGCATTCTTCGGTTTTTGGTCGAAATTCACGTAATGTCCTTAAATATGCTTTGTATTGTGTACTTTGTTCGCACCGGCTATGAAAACTACGCTTTGATGTTTACATGCCTGCCTATCTTGTGTCTTCCACCAATCATCATGAAAGCCGAATGACTCATTTTAACAGTAACTAAAGATCGGTCCATTCTCAGATATTACTGTTCCAAAACAAGATGGTGAAAATCACAACGATAATATTTTTACTCCACAATTTTACATATCTGGCAAACGATCGTTCAATTATTTCAAATCACTAGAAATCCTAAGATATTTTAACAAACTACAAGCATCCTTCAAGGAAACCACTCTTGTACAATATCCGCAGTTCGCTCTCTGAGTTGGCCCTCACAGTGTTGTCGTCCATAGAGGGTCCTATTCTAATCACTTTCGTGTGGACGGATATACTGCTTTCAGTATTGAATTCGTACGCTTCCCGCGTGGTTGGAACATCATTTACCAAAACTTCGCTGAGATCCCTCTACTTAATGAGTCGCATGTCCGTCAGCGATGACCGAACCGTTACGTCCTGTATTAAAATAATTGTTGTCACTTACATTTCTGAGTAGGGAACAAACATGCCACTTGGTTCCATGTGACGCTTAAGCTTTGCCAGGCCCATATGATCAACTTGATTTTGTTGGTGCAGTGCGAGTTCTGTTCACAACTGACCCGACAACAACATTACTATAGTACACTGCACTAGTACATTGTCAACCTCTGCTGATGATAGTTTGCTGGTCTGTGGTAGATTTGCGAGGACTGACTCTTGCATGAGCTTTGGGGCAGATCAGTCCGACCTTAAAAGCGGCGTCATTGGCGTGCCTTTCGCTCCACATGTGTTAACACATATGCGTTAACACATATGTGCCAATTGGCGAATTGCGCAGGACATTTCGGAGCGAAATAGGTTCCAGTGCGCTTGGACCTCAACGCCAAGAACGGGCTGCGTCACCCCAGTCAATCATAGCCCCCTCCAGCCCAGCCATGTTTAAGGGGCTAGGAGGGGCTGGTTCTGGCAGGGTGGTTGATCATTCGCAGCAAAATCGGCGACCATGGCAACGACAGTTATAAATAATTAAAAAATAAAGCTGCCAGTTAAATTGCTCTGATATAACCTAATATGTCGAGTTACGACCAAATACCACCAACCCAACTATTGCAAAACGCAGAATCAGTCAATCAACCGTTCAGCTTATTCATTATGATAAATGCAATTGCTTAGGCGTTTAATTTGTAAGCTCCTATCAACTACCAAACCAGATTTATGATGAATAAAGCAATTAGGAGACTGCATTTTCAGTAAGAAGCAATTACCTCTAGATATAGTTCTTAAGTCACGTCAAGCGAAACGGCTGTGAATATTTATTGCAATTACCGCAAATCACTTTCGTACAAGGTCGTTCCCTCTACTTCAAAAAACTCTGATTCATTAAAACACTCTCACTGCTCATATTAAACTCTCAAGCATAGAATGACCGGTATACCTAAGAATCTTTTTATTTCCACGTATTCATTGTTATAACATGTGAGACTGTAAGAGGTCACCGGAGTTGCGGGGGGAATTAAGTCCCTAACTGAACTGAACATCATTCAGAGCGTCGATTGAAGCGAAGATTAGAGGTCCAGGATCTAGTTGATAAGTAGTAAAAGCAGAAGTTATCAACATTCTAATCATTATGTCGGCCTGCCTGTCCAGTCGTTTTGCCCTTTTTGATATTTGTCACATAGTTCTTAGGAGGTATGCACTTTGGTTTGGAGAATAATTTATTCGCAGCCAATTACAATATTACTAATAATAAGGATTTTTTTTATTAAAGAACAGTCGAGGTCCCATCGAAGCGAGTACTCTGATGTACGAGTCCAAATTCATTGAAGGCAGGCTTAGCAGAATCTAATGAAGTTGCAGTGATCGTACTATCTCGAATATTCTCAAAAATCGAGGCACCGCTCTTAGTCTCTATTAATTCAACGCTGACGATAACAGGTTCAGTGACTGACTGGTTGTGGCCCTCGGCAGACATGTTAATACTATTACTGGAACAAGCAAACCACCTGAGTGATATAACTATGGGAATAGCGGTAGAATAGCGAATGGATCAGCAATGCATGAAATATGTGTCAGCTTTCCGTTCACATTTGATCAGGAACGGTTTCCCAACAATAAAGACGTGACCAGTAGCCGGAAGAGAAAAGATGAACACTATTGTGGTGAGACGCATGTTTCTGCAATGTATCTTGTAACCAAATGAACTAGCAATGCAAAACACGACACCTCTTGCGCCGAATTCATTGTTTTACTTAGCTTTGTAAAACAGAAACAAGAAAAGCTGTGAACTTGCTCTTATCACGTTGTATTGGGCATCTCCACACGCTGTCGTCCATTTATGCCATAGGTCTCCATGGTTCCTCCAGGATACCTCAAGTCCAAGTGTGTAAGATAGTCCCGTTGATTCCCCAGTCCTCAAAAAAATGACAAGAACTTCTCGAGAGTTCCGTAGGGGCTTGCTTGGGAGCTCCCTACAGAATTTTCGCATATATTGCTGTCATCTTTTGATCGAGGTTCCTTCTCCTCTGATTGGAGGTAACCGAGATCTACTTATTTCGCAACATGTGCAAAGGAAATTGCTAATTGGTATTGTATTTTTGCAAGTTTATGTAGTCAAAAATTTGATATGGAATTTCCCGAGGAATAGACATCTTTATACTGTCAAACACAATTTTCGATGACACAGTCCTGCTCGACAAATATGACCTATTCAACGACGCACTGATCCCTGATATTCGATGAAGAAACCTGATTCGATCAAGTTTAAAGCGGTTGTGTGGTAGTCTGCCAGTCACATTATACGGTCGTAGAATATGAGATACGGACCAACGTAATTAATTGGATACGAAATCTTTTTGTCGGTCGAGGACAGTCTGTATGCATTATAAGCATGAAATAGGTTTCGGTGTGGATAGCAAGCGGTGCACTTCAGGGCTTCTTTTCCAGGCCATCACTGTTTATGTCTGCATAACATGACCGGTCTCCACAGGAAAGACTGTTATCAGATGACTAAAACTATGGCGCAGAACCGAGAAAGTGATTGTGAATCAACCAATCGGCGTATACGAATGATGGGATTTGTGGCTGCTCAGATATCCCCGGGGAAAGTGTGTCAAACGGCAGTTCGAGGCAAAACGTGTATGAAATTTAATCCACATAAATATTTCCTGTGCATAGACCGAATAAAAGGACATCAGAATCCCCATTTTGTCATCGCTGAACCTCTCCTAGTATGTCAGTCTCGCCAAGGGACTATTGTGTGCTTATCTTGCTTATTAATCTCTTGTTCAGGTACAGAAAAGAGCGCATTTGTGAAGTAAACGGGGCATTGGGCCGTAAGCATCTATGGTATCAAATTCAGTCGTCTGACATTTATTTAAGGAATGAGTAAATTTTGTCCGATGAGGTTAAAAGAAGGCCGATAAAAGTTGAGAAATGATTCCAATTCGTATTGTGTATATGCGAACTTGGTTGTCTTAGCCTACTCCTTCTTTAATACAAGGACATCCAAAGATACCTCATGCAGACCTGTTGAATTATTAGGGATCAGTACTATGGCCTGCACACAACTAATTTAAATATACTGGTTGCTAAAACAAATCGACATAGGAACCTTGGCAAATTTTGAAAGGACTCATCACATCCAGATGTCCATCTCAGTTTAGTGTGTTTGGAAAAAACACGCTTACTCTTCCAAACTTCCTATTTGTCACATAAGAATTGGACGAAATAGTAATATACAAATTACGCTGTCAAGTTGGAGCAGACGTAGTCTCACTTCCGTGCATTTGTTTTAAGGATAACATTGTCTCGCAGTCGGTTGTGGCTGAAGAATGTGTCGGTAAGGTTGATATTTGAATGTATCCACAAACTGCGAAAATAACAGTCGCCCGGGGCAGACTATGTCATGGTTCAATTCCACGATTTATGAAAAAACACTTTCTCAGATGAAATCTTTCTTGACCACTTTTAGCTAAAAACGATACCCTCCCATGTTGGTTGTAGTGATGAGTTGGAAGAAGTTCCCACACTGCGGAGCACAGCGCAAACCACGTGATACTGAAAGTCTTATCTAGTCCCCACGCAATTGATTTTAACTCAATGGGCAGATATCTCAACTATTTAGACAGGTCAGATATGACAGTGCTCCATGCTCGCTTATTAATTTTGTGGCTAACCCTTGCACATTTCCGAGTAGCCTATAATCCTGCTGTGTCCAGTGTGTCAGGGCTTGAATTGTAAATTCAAGTTACAGCCTTACAAAGGTACCAAAGGCTTCGAGAAACAGTCATCATCGGGAACTGTGAATGCTCGCTTGATGGCGCACGATATGTGCAGAAGGTCGAGAACTTTCCGTTTTTTGGCCCCTCGGAGTGCTATGCCGTTTAGATTGTAGATACGCTTATCAGGGACCTAGTATCTATTCCCAAAATGCAGCATAGTGTATATGCTTCTTTTGGCTTAGAGGAACTATCTACGGGATCGCTCTTCCAATCGACATAGATATTCTTGGAAGTTCTTCTCATCGGCGGCACTGTGGATGACTTTCTATATGTTTATATTATACGCAAGGATGACACACTTAGAGTTGGACGATCGAACACAATCATCAAAAAAGCAAAAAGATATTTTGTCCCACCACCGGATCTTACGGAACTGCACTCCCTATACATGTACAACTTCATTGCCCTAGCTCAACACAGACAACTGAAAAACGACCAACGAGAAGATGCTTTAATGGGACCCCGACGGGTCTTTAATAAACAATTATTATGTTAGATCCTTTAAGGAATGCCTTGTCAATATATAGGACTGACCTATCGCGATTTGCATAATACTGCGCTCCACAGAGGCATTTAGACATAAGACATGTGCATATTTGTCGGAGAATATCATTTCATCATACAGTATGCAAGTTCACACCAAAGCTGTGCCTCTACATACCGCAAATGCGAATTTTCCTGGACACAGAGCAAATGTGCCCGGGTTTCAGTTGTTACTCATTGATTACTATTTTGCCAAAAGAGTGCAACAAGAGCCGCATCAAGAATGAGTCATTGCTGCTTCAGGGGAGGACTATGTTATCGCGTCAGTTCGCAGCATATCAACACACCGTGATAGATTCAAGTGCGTCAGACCGTTTATAGTGAGAAATGTGCGCTAAGTGGGTAATGCTCATGCTCTCTCTCTCTCTCTCTCTCTCTCTCTCTCTCTTCTTTTAGTCAACAGCCCAATGGTCTAGCCGGTCATTTGTCGGATACAGAGATTTGACGCAGTGACTGACGGAGTAAAATACAGCCCTTTTGCGCATGTCACAGGCACGACCTAACTCCCACAAAGCACACCCGAATTCCACTCAGTGGCGTGGACCGATTGGATTGCCCACATTTTATAGTAGCTGTGGGGATGTGTGAGAAAATAAGCGAAGGATACACTTCTCACTTACGTGAGAGATACCTAGACCGAGCCTTGGATGTTTGGTGTCGGATGTGCTTAGGCTTGATGTGTGCGCTGGTGAGGAGATATGCGACGATGTGGTTAAACCAGGGGTGTTTTATTGCAGGTGTTTATTGCTGTGCATGTGGTCGAGTAGACCTAACCGGCAACTGAATGTGCGAAGGTAGTTGAGGCAGGTGCGGCGGGTGAATGCTGGTGTTCCAGGCTTTGGTTCGGCAGTCTCTGTGCGAGTCCATTCGCCGACGACTTACGAAACCGGTGCATGGTACGCATGTACGGTAGCAATGTGCGCAGAGTGGATTTGGAGCTGTTAAGTCGGTTGCTGATGTGACACTGCTTGTGTTATCCGCGTTGCTGGAGGATGAGTTGGCAGTGCCGGAGATGGGAGGCTTGTCGGGTGTACTATGTGTGCTGGACATGACAATATGTTGCTGTAAAGTTTACACTCGTGGAAAAGCATGTGACCGAATAGCTGCATGTGATGAGTTGTGTGTGAACAATGTGGACACTGGAGGTGAGTGCAACAAGCGTATGTCTGGTTCCTAACACTGGTGCGTCTGTCTTAATGCGATAGATTCGTCATCCAGGCCGATATGTGATGTAAATGTGCGATTGCACGGGTGGCATGCTCGGGTCGAGTCTAAAGCAACGATACTGTGGACGGCGGTGGGGTCAGTAGCTGCTGACGGGGAGTTGAGGGTATTTTCACAGGTAACAGCAGATCAAAAGAAGATATCCGTCGTCTCGTGTGTTGTGGCAGGGAGGATAGATGTAGTGGGTGCCGACGACGTTCCGGTGGCATCAGGAGTGAAATCACCTTTGGCTGTGATTGCTGCTGTCGTGGGCATTGGCACACGATTGACGGTGGAGACATTCGCATAGACAGCAAGTGGCATTGCCGGGTTGTCCCATTAGATTCCAAAATGTCCGACGCGACCTATCCGTAAGCAGAATGCCTGCTGATTGCAAGTCAATTTTGAAAATGGTGGGATGTTGAGGTTGAAAATCTGAGGCATTTTTGACGAGGTGCGCATTTTTTTGACAACAGTAATCCGGCTTGCTCCTTAGATCGCTGCCAAATTTCAATTTAAGTTAATTTATTAAATGCCAGTTACAGGCATTGTCAAGGGAAGCGATTAAACACAAATCCGACCAGCAGTAAAAAAAACTCCTGAAGAATAAAAATATAGTTGATGATGGTTTTTATGGTTTGAAGGGTTCAGGAAAAAAAACTGCTGGCGGTAGATTTTCGACCGTCAAGAAGGGGGAGAAGGGGGTTGCACGGTATCGGAGATCATCGGACGTCAAATTCCTTTCATGAAGTTGGGGATAGTCAAAGTAGAGGCGTTGAGGAACAGCTGGTGAGACCGGCCATAGTGTTCAGAGACCACAAACGCCATCGCTACGGTAGAGTCCATCAGTGGATTCAGAACCCAAAATTTGAGGAAGCTTTTCTGAATGCAAAAATCGAATAATAGTTCTCATAAATAAGTCTTCAGAACTCTTTTACAAACCAGTCGGTATTGCGCAAGCTTCTACCAGGCCTCCGAAATTATTTACAATTACTCGGGGTATGTTATCGGTGTGTCCGTATAGTTTTGCTTTTGTCCTCCTTGTCTGCGAGCATCCATAATAACATTGCCATAGAACAGTCGCTGTGGTAAGCTCTTGTCCTCCAACCTCTCTAGGTAACCGCTCCATCGAAGTTATAGTTTGTCCAGCATAGTGTGGATGTTCAGGATTCTGGTCTGTTCTAAGACTTACGAGTCTGGGATCTTGTCGTGCTACCTCAACTTTAGTATACTCTGAACACAACTGGCGAGGAACTGATTGACCATGCCGGTTTGGTTGGCTTACACTGTCCACATATCCGTCCCGTATAATTATGTTGTCATGTCTACCGTTGTGCACATTTTGAGCGTTTGTTGAATCGAAGTCGATGACGGTCCCAGTCGGAGGCTTGAATCCGGCTGTAGGCATGGTTGCCCATGGAGAACAGGTGGGCCACTTCGTTGTTTATCTTTGTGTTGCCTAAATGGTGCTGCATAGGTAGGCGAACTTGTGTTCCATTCACGTTGATGCTGAGCGTGGTGTGATCCTCCTCTGGCGTTGCTTGTTGCATGACATCCATTTCGTCTATGTTGAATGTCAACTCGAAGTTTGCGCTATCGGAGGCGAAGAAGTTCAAATTTAATTTTCATGGTTGCTTCTGTCACTTCATCGAATGCACGTAGTTTATGGACAGTGATTGTAAAAGTCCGTTCGAACGCTTGCATCCGCTAGTCATTAAGAAACTAGGCCCTCATTACGGTAGCTTTCCGGCTGCATTACGGAGAACGTGATACCGGAGGGTATAAGAGAGAGTAAACAGTCCTGCGTTGGACCTGTTTTGGATAATTGCGGATGCTTCTGAAACTGCCCCGTTGTCCGTGACACGCGCCATCCGCCCCTCATGAAGCCAACGCATGATGTGTGAATCGCTCAGGCCGGACGGATTTCTGAATCATTTTTCTCAGAGCCCATGATGATTAGTGATGTCGAAGAACTTCGTCAGGTCCATTGGGATAGTGTAGTGGTTGGTATGCATTTCCTCGCACAGCCTTTGCCTCCATGGCTTCGTACATTCTCATTGAGGTGGCTGAACAGTATAGGTGCGTCCAGTGAATGACATTACAGAATGTTGATTTTTCCACTCTCAGGAGGAAAACGGTCTGACACCAACACCGCTTTTAATGCGGCTATAAATTTGCCTACCTAAACGATGATAATTTGTAATGCATCTCATGTATGGTATCTAATAATATGACATTATAAATCATAAGCATGGCGTAATTCACACGCAAATCAGGGCTCAGCCTTCTTTTCAAGAAGACGGAAACACCACTACAGTCAGAGTCCTTGCGATCCGACCGGCTCACGACACGCCCATTTCTTAGCTAACATGATATGGACTGCATGATTGAGTGCGCGCTCTTCAAAAGAGACGGTTGTCGTCAGTGTCACAAATTGTTTGTGTCCTTCCCCAGTACATGAACATGCTCCGTTGAGCATCTCCGAGAGCGTATGGGAACAGGTTCTGCGCACTCACAACTCGTGATTACTTGATTGGAAGCGTTGTGTATGTGTCCGCATTAAGGGTACTATAAATGATTTATTGGGTTAGGCGAACAGTCCACTGCATTCGATCAGAGCTCAGTCAAAGCATACTATTGATAAAATGATGCCTCCAATAGAAATTGTTATGACCCGCCTAGTACGTGAAATCCCGTGGAACGTATACGTACTCGACCCTGGTCCCCAATACCAAGGCAGAAGACAAAGAACACACGGCTGGCCACGGAAAATGCATTAGCAAAACACTTCAAGTCGCGACTAGCTAAGGGTGACGCATCTTTATAACACGCTATTGTGGTTCGCCGGCATTCAACCCAATGACCTTCGGGAAGAGGGGAGTAACCAATGGCGAGGCGCCTGATTGAGATAACACCGCTGTAGAGAGAGAGAGCTAATAAGCCAGAAATGGCCATTCCAGTCTCCCTTGTCTTTGTCGGTAATACCATTCTGCCTATATATCATGCGCCGCTGTGCGGCTGTTGGTTGGGCTCGAGAGAGAGCCCTTAAGGCACAACGGAACGAGTGAGTTCCGTATGAACGATCGGTGAGCGTCCCCTACCATATATATATATATATATATATATATATATAATACATACGCAGCTCGCTAAGAGTGCAACAGGCCAGACGCAGACAGCTGTTTCACGGTCGTTACCGATCATCAGTACGTCATAGGCCTTATATATGTTAAGGAGCAATATATATATATATATATATATATATTATGATAGTGGGCGCTCACCGATCAGGTTACGGAACATGCTCGTTCCGTTGTGCCTTGGGGCTCATGCTTAAACCCTCGCAGGCAGTCGCACAGCGACTAGTGATATATGTTGGAAAGGTAATACCGACAAAGACAAGGGAGACCGGAATGGCCATTTCTGGCTTATTAGCCGTCATCAGCCAGTCATACCCAACCCCAAGTGTGGATCACTTGAGATTCGAACCCGGGATCTTTGGTCATGGAGTTGAACGCTCTACCATTGAGCCACGGGCCCGTTGTCCTGTCGGTTGTGATCGGGAATATTAATTATGATAGTGGGCGCTCACCGATCAGGTTACGGAACATGCTCGTTCCGTTGTGCCTTGGGGCTCATGCTTAAACCCTCGCAGGCAGTCGCACAGCGACTAGTGATATATGTTGGAAAGGTAATACCGACAAAGACAAGGGAGACCGGAATGGCCATTTCTGGCTTATTAGCCGTCATCAGCCAGTCATACCCAACCCCAAGTGTGGATCACTTGAGATTCGAACCCGGGATCTTTGGTCATGGAGTTGAACGCTCTACCATTGAGCCACGGGCCCGTTGTCCTGTCGGTTGTGATCGGGAATATTAATTATGATAGTGGGCGCTCACCGATCAGGTTACGGAACATGCTCGTTCCGTTGTGCCTTGGGGCTCAT